GTAGAGATATATTTGATTTTTCAATTTAGATCCCTTCAAGCAAGTTTCATTGCTTTGTTTTTTCCTAAAATATACAATTATTTAAGTGACTAGAAACTTCGCCCAGCCAATTGTTCTAATCGAACAATTACAGCGTTGTTTAGCTTCACGAAGTTTTGTATTTATAAGATCTGAACAATATAAGCTACGTTCGAATCAAATTCTGTTGAATCTTTTTATTCAAATTTTCGTTATAGAAAAAAAAATTAAGGATACGAATTTGAGAATGAAAATGTTGATCATTTATAAACAGTACGCAAGACGAAGGTTTTTATCTGATTGCACTATCCATTTTCACGAAAACTTGACAACCGCGAAAAACCTATAACATATTTCACATCCGTTGGGCTTGAAGTTAGATAGTGTTACCACCAGTATTTTGTCTCATTTTAACAGCAACGATGTTTACATTCATACAATTCAGCATCAATAAGTAAGCATATGCGGCCTTTTATTTAAATGATTGACTATTAAATATTTATTGATTTTTAGGCTAAAGAATTTTCAAGATTCAATGAAACTTATGAATTTAACCGACAACTTTTTAATCATGCTTAAATCAACGCCAAGTCTGACTGCATGAAATCGACTAAGTGAAAAATATGATCCATATTTTACTTTGCCCAAGTCAAATTCGACGGGAGAAATCGAACAAAATTTATAGCATACAGAGATCTTAATTTTAGTAAAATCGTTTCAACGAGCATCAGGCGAATTCCGTTCTTTAGATCATCGCTTCGCATCGCATTAAATCTAGTTCTTTTCTCCAGTTACATTCTCAATCAAAACGATGAAATCATTTTACTCTATGAAAATAACATTTGACTTATTGATCATAAGTTATGATAAAAGTAAACACGCAGTGTCGCGAGTCTAATAAATTGTGTTTTATACAGTGATTTTTGTGACTACCGTTCTAAGCTTTATGTATAGTTGGAATTTTTAACGAATTTTCCAGTTGATACTTATATGTGTCTATTGGCGAAAGTATCGAAAGTTCACGGTATTCATATTCCATTTTGTTCAGCGAAATAACTTGTAACAACCGCCATCAATAAATTCGTATATTACCCGATTTAAATCAGAATGATATCTGACAACTATCGAAATAGGTACTTCATAGTTGCCATCAGAAAAAAGCATTTGTTTTTATAAGAGTCAGCTTAAAACAATTATGTCGACCACATACGTTACACTTCGACCTATCAAAGTATGATCTTATTTGACTCAACACTATTCAATTGTAACTAATAAATCAGTGAGATCATTTTCAATAAAAATACCGATTGTTGTCTCTTAAAAAAAAGAAATTAGCAGCTGCCATATGCGCTGTTTCCGCACTCGATTGTGACGCACGGACGGGAATTGACCATAGCTTTCAAATCAGGAGAGTGATTTTCCTCAGTAGTTGCTGGAAGATGTAGCGTCTGTGCGTGAGACGCGTAAGCAGAATATCGCTATGGGGACGCATCTTCAGGTGGGGTCTAGGGCTAAAAATCAAAAAATATTTTTTCAACGGGAGATGCGGCAAATGCAGATTGCTCCTGATGGATTCCTTATAGCTATGATATTTATATTTGCTGGGAATATTGCTGCTGTGTGTCCCGCCTCTTCCGTGGCATCTCTGACATGCCCAATTTGTTGGATATGTGACACTGATGTATCTTCATGAACAATATTCTGCAGATAGCGTGACAATGTTGTAACGATACGAGATGTTTCATCGTGATATCGAACTGTTTTATTCCAATCATCATTCTCCTTTTATAGTTACACTTTCTTTCTCCGGGGCGCGTCACTCAACCGGAGAGAATGAGAAAGAACACGACAAAGAGGAAGAGAGAATACACATGACAATGAGGAGAAAGTCGTTATGTACATTGATTAGGATAGAACGAGTGCTTATATCGGCAGTCATATTTTCAGCAGAAATGAATCATCCCACATAAAGTCATACGTTTTAAGTAGAAATGGAAAAGAAAGAATATATATGCACATATATATATAGATAAATGTCATAGGTGCACAAGAAATTGAAGTTATTCTGGTCTAACTTTCTTTTATAAATAAAGGCGATATTTATCAGTTTGACCCCTTTAGATCACTTTAGTCCTTTTAGCCTGTTGAATCACTTCTTTTAGATCTAAAGTGATCAAAAGGAACTAAAAGAACTAAAGGTATTAGAAGGGCTAAAGGGATTAAAGGAATCTAAAGGAAAATGAGGGTTTATATTTGTAAAGAAAAGTTAGACCAGGATAACTTTAATTTATTATGGACCCCTCCTGAATAAGCGAAAACGCAGAATTTCTGTCATTTAAATAACTCTTAAATATTTCTGAAATTTTCTAACTAGAAAAACGCCTACAGATAAGTTACAGTTCGATAAAATTTTAGTTTTTGAAGCTGTTGGCATAGAAGAATATTGATAAGAAATATGAAATCAATTTTACACTTAAACATTGTTTTACTATTAGTTCTCAATCCTGAAAGGATGAGTCTTCACAACGGAAATTCGCCTGTTTGTCCGGTGCCTGATTGGTTGGCCAGGGAACCAATAGAAATCGAGTTTTCTGGAAAAGGGCTCCCAGTAGGTATTTCTGGGTGGGGTTCGAATATGAGCCCCATTGCTAGCGTCCATGATAAATCACTTGCACACTCACTTAGCATTATATTGTGCCTTCTAGTC